CTTCCCATTTCCTATTGAGCCACGCCTTCCTGGGTGTGGCCGTCTAAAGGAGAGATTGAGAGGTTCTAGGGCTAGTGGGGTGCACTGGGTACCCGCAGCTAGGTCAGGAACTTGGAGCTGCTTTTCTGTACCTCCGCCCCGGCCGTGTTCTGTGCAACTGGGGATTCTGCTTGACAACTTGGGCTCAGAGACCCGCTTAGGGAGCCTTCTCTAATTGGGCAGAAACTCTTGTATAAAAGGCAGCAGGCTCTGTGAGTTTAGGGAGGAGATTTGGTGTCTCAGACGCCTTGACGTTAAGTTGCTGCTAAAATTGCAAATTCCTCCTGGGAAAAGAAGAACATTAAGATAACCGAAGATCTGCTTTATTGGCAACTTAGGATGCAAAGTATTTCATTTTTAAATTTCTAAACTTTTTTGCCTGTTGGGTTTTTGGTTTTATGACACAGGGCCTCGCTAAGTAGTTCAGGCTGGCCTCCAACTTTTATTGATCATCCTGCTTCAGCCTCCTGTGTGCTGGGCTTCCAGGCCTATACCACCCAGGTCCTGGCTAAATTTCTAAACTTTGAAAATGAGACAGCCACGTTTAAATAACACAGCTTTCCAAAGCTGAGTGTTGTCATTTAGACATCAGTTTTTCTGCATAAAATACAAAAACAATGTTCTAAAATTTCTAGATGGGAACAGGACTATTCTTACAACCTGTGACAGGTTGAGCTCATCAACCTCAGTTGGTAACATTCCTTTTTTTTTTTTCCCTTGACAAGGGCTTAAAAAATTTCAGGTGCATTGTTCTAGTTATACACGGACAATCCCATTCCAATGTCTCCTGAGAGGCGTACACCATACGCAGGAACCCATCTTTATCTTTTCCTCTCCTACGCCTCTGAGATCAGTGTGGGACACACTCGCCACGCTGTGTCCGTTCACCAAGAGGAAGAAAGCTTGGTTAGCGTTTAGCTCCAAGCACCTCCTGCTGGTCTCGATGCGCTCACTCACGTTGACATGGTCAGGAATGAGGACCCCGGTATTATTCAGGATGGGCAGCCGCTTCTCACTCTTGTATTGTTCTGTGATCACCAGCATCGTGGTGGGATGCTGCTCTCAGATGAATCAAAAATCTTTTATCTTTGTTCAGAGGTGTGACTCTGCTTGCCCGTCTTCTCTGACAGTACTGGGCAGGAGGTCCTGGGGGCAGCAGTGGCTTGAGATCTCTCTTGCCACTTTTGGGTTTTTTTTTTTTTTCCGGTACCGGGAATCGAACTCACGACCTTGCGCTTGCCAGGCAGGTGCTGTGCCGCTGAGCTAAATCCCCAGCCCCTATTACCGCTTTTGGAAGCAGTTCTGCAAGTCCTTTTTTGTGAGTGTCTTCAGCTGCACTCCGTGGCTGCCTTGACGTCCTGAATCAATTCGAAAGCTTTACCTTCCACAGTCATTTTGGCTTTGGGGACGAAGCAGAAGTCGCATGGTGGCAGATCGCGTGATCAGGCTGCATGAGGACACACTGTAATGTTTTTATGACCCTCCCTTTCCATGGGATGGCACGTGGCAGCAACACTCACTATACTTTTTTTAATCATGCCTCATAAAGATTGTGAAAGAGGACTTCCAGAATTGCTTCAGAAAGTGGCAAGAATGATGGGATAAGTATTTTTGAAGAGAAAGAGTATTTTGAGGGGGATTAATGGCAATATGTTGTTTACTAAAATAAAAATTTTAAACATTCAATATATATTCGTCACCCCTTTATATGCCCCTTTAAAGAATGCAACCATTACAAAAGTATGTAATTTAGGGAAATATTTCTTTATATACCTCTCCCCCAGCTATGTAGAGGTTACCACTGCTGACATGTAGAATGTGGGATAAGCGTCCCTAATCTGAAACTCTGAAATCTGAAATGCTCTAAAATCTGAACCTTTTGACCCCAACATGATGGCGCAGGTGGAAAATTCCACACGTCTGACTTCATGTGAGTCAAAATACAGGCACACTGAAAATATTGTGTAAAATTACCTTAGATTATGTGTATAAGCTATATTAAACATAAATGAATTTCTTGTTTAGACTCAGGTTCTAGCTCTAAGATATCTCGCTGAGTGTGGTGGTACATGCCTGTAATCCTAGCACTCAGGAGGCTGAGGCAGGAAGATCGCCACAAGTTCAAGGCCAGTCTGGGCTACATAGTGAGTTCAAGTCCAGCCTGAACTGCATAGTGAGACCCCATCTCAAAAAAAAAAAAAAAATCAGATTTTATATATGTGTAAACACTCCAAAATCCAAAAATTCAAAATACCTCTGATCCCAGGCCTTATGAATAAAGCACACTCAGCCCATACTACCCTCCAGGTTTTTTTTTTTTTTTTTTTTTTTCTGAATCTGCATGAGTATTTACCTACATACATATATGGATTGGGGGAAATGGAGCATTTAGTTTCCAGAATTTTCTTTTTCCAAACAAATAGATCATAGTGTAGTTAGCATCACCTTTATTTTATTTTTTTACATCCGCAGATGACTCCTGGGAATAGGCCTTTATGTAATGGTTCCTTGCTGATAGCCCCTGAGATCATTTCTGCCTTGGGAAATACCCTCCTTCACCCTTGCCCACCTAGCCCAGCCCACCTCGCAGAGTGGATGAGAAAGGATAGCTCACTGTCACAGGAGGGGCCACATTCTCTCTTGTAGTTTCTTTCTCTACAAATTGCTTCTCTATGTCTTTTCTCATAAGAACTTTCTAGATGATGCATTCTGAGATTGGTGCCACCTGGTCAGGCGGGCCTGGGGAGCCCCTTCAGGACGAGGTGTGGCTGCCTTGGGTAACCTGGGATCAGCCTCCTCCAGGTAGCTGCCTGGCTGTTGTTCACAGGGACAGTGGTGATACGCCATGCGTGTGGTCACAGGGCAGCAGGTGTGACCTCTTGCAACCTCTAAAAATCAGGAGCGTGACTTGGGATGGGAATGGAAAGTTTTAGGCCCTGGATTTGCAGCTGAGAGAAAGTGGAAAGGTCTCCCCCGACCCACCAGGGCTCAATTCTCTCCTGAGCTCCAGTTCCTCAGCCTGAACTGTGCCCGTTACAGTCCACATCACAGTCCACTGAGGATCATGTTGCCACATTTAGACAAAACCTCCCCACTAACAAACCAATAAGAGCAACAAACATCCCAACGCGCTTGGTTAAAAATGAAGGTTGAGGGCTGGGGATTTAGCTCAGCGGCAAAGCACCTGCCTGGCAAGCGCAAGGTCATGAGTTCGGTTCCTGGTACCGGAGAAAAACCAAAAAAAAAAAAAAAAAAAAATGAAGGTTGACCATTTGACCCAGCTGTTCCCCTTCTTGGTATCTTCCAGAAAGAATTGAAAGCATCATATCACAGCGATATACATGCACCCATGTTTATAGCAGCACAGTTTGTAATAGCTAAATCTTGGAAACAACTGTCCATCAACCAATGAACAGATAAAAAAGATTTTTTTAAATACATACTACTCAGTCATAAAGAAGGGTAAACTTGAGGATTTTATAGCGAAAGGGATACATCTCGTGATCATACTCTTAAGTGAAATAAATAGGACACACACATGTAAATATCTCATTGTCACTGTGGTGTGAGAAACTGAAAGTGTAAATAAGAACCAAAATGTATAATAGATATTGGGAAATAGGAAGAAATTGTTCAAAAGGAAAAGGGAACTGGAGAGGGGGGAGGGGAGAAAGGAAGGAGAAAAAAAAGGATAAAATGGATACAAAACTTTGTAAATAAGGAGGGGAAAAGGGGTTGAAGGGAGTGGAGGGGAATGAGAGAAAAAAAGAGAGCTAAGATATATCATTCACAGGTACAGGTTCCCTATGATGAATGTGATCATTATGTATATCAAGGAGGCTGGGGATTTAGCTTAGTGGCACAGCACCTGCCTGGCAAGCGCGAGGTCATGAGTTCGATTCCCGGTACCGGAAAAAAAAATTGTCTGTGTGTCCATTATGTATATCTAAATTGTACCAATAAACTTAATTTTTAAAAATGAAGGTTGAATGATTTTTAGTGTAAGTACATCCCATGCAATATTTAGGATAGACTTATGCAACTAACATTTTTATTTACTGTTTGCCTGAATTTCACGTTTACCTGAACAATCCTACCTGCCAGGTGTGTGTGCAGAGACCTGGCTGACTGTGCGACCAGAGCCTTCTTCTTCCCAGCTCTGAACCTCAGTTTCCCATCTGTTGTCCCTACCCACCCCAGGGGTGTAGGGCACTAGGCGAGGCTCTTCCTTTTTATTCAGAAAAGTGTTTCATTACAAAACTTAAAAGGCCTAAACGTAAGAATGAACATTCACGTCCTCACAACCAGCTTAAAACTTAAAATGAAACCATGCACCAGAATCTTCTGCCATTCCCCATCTCTCATTGAGCTGATTTTTAATTTTAAAAAATTTCTAGCCAGGCACGGTGGCTCACACCCATAATTCTCAGCACGCGGGAGGCTGAGGCAGGAGGATTGTTGTCAGTTGGAGGCCAGCCTGGGCTACAAAGTGAGTTCAAGACCAGCCTGAACTGCATAGTGAGACCCCATCTCAAAAAAAGAAAAAAAAAACAAAGGCCAAAAAAAAGAATTTCTAGATTATTTATTTATTTTTGTGGTACTGGGGATTGAACTGAGGGCCACAGCACTGAGCTACATCCCCAGACCTTTTTGGTTTTTGTTTTGATACAGGGTCTTGCTAAGTTACCCAGGCTGGGCCTGAAATTGTGATCCTCCCATCTCAGCCTTCCGGAGTGCTAGGATTACAGGTGTGCACCGCCACACCTGCTTGACACCCTTGTGCTCCTGTTCCCGTGGCTGTCTCCCTCCAGGTGTTTGTCTCTCTGTCTCTCCAGTGTCTCTCGCCCCTGTCTGGATCCTGCTGGGGGTCCTCAGAGCTGGCAAAGTCAGGTCCCTGCCTTTAGGCTTGAGTTCCCTCTGGTCAGCTTCCTAACGCACGCCCCCTCTGTGCTGCCCTCCAGGTGCCTGAGATGCCACCGCTGCCGAAGAAGCGCTGGGAGTCCATGGCCAAGGGGTTGGTGCTGGGTGCTCTCTTCACCAGCTTTCTGCTGCTGCTCTATTCCTACGCTGTCCCCCCGCTGCATGCCGGCCTGGCCTCCACGTGAGTGGTGGGATTAGGTACCAAAAGGTGGGGTGGGGGAAGCCCACAATTACTGAAGCACCTGCCCTGATGGTTGAAGCTACCTCACAGGCTGCTGCTCTGTGCCCTGCCCCACGCTCTGTCAGACAGAAGCTCTACAACTGAGGGCCAAACTCGCAGTAGAACCCTGGGCCTCAGTGTGCCCGTCTGTCAGGTGGGGGTAAGAGAGCCTGCCTCATAGCATGAGTGAATCACACAAAACCTGTGTCCAGGGTTTGGATTATTATCATTTAGGCTCCAGCAGGGCCACAGTGTGGGGTGACTTGTCTAAGAGCATTCGGTTGTCAAGGGCCAGGATTCAAACTGGGGCCCCTGTGAGCCCAGCTCTGGCTCCTAAACATCAGGCCTCCTCATGAGCTCAGCACAGGTTGGTTGGTGGTGTTGTTTAACTGGAGGGAACTGCTGAGGACTGAACATTTCTGGCCTGCAAAATGCAATTTTATGTGGTCCAAACCAACACTGTTTTACGATAATCAGATGACACAGAGTCCACGGACGCGACAGAGCCTGTGTTCCTCAACTCACTCTGACCTCATGCCAACACCACCAACAGGGCCTGTTGTTTCTCCCATTCCACAGATGAGGAAACTGAGGCCAGAGAGACCAGATCACTGGCTCAGGCCCCCAGCCTGGACTCAGGCCCATCTGCTGCCCCATCCCCACTCCCCTAACACCACTGTCCTCAATAACCCTATGTCTAGATCCTGGGGCCCAGGGTGCCACGGCCTGAGGCCCCAGCAGTTCCAACCTTCTTCCCCCACTCTCTGTCCTCAGCAGGACCCCAGAGGATTCGGCGCCCTGCTCCCCTGCCCCTAGCGAGTCGGAGCTGGTGACCCCCGCCAACGGTTCAGCAGGAGGGTGCCGGCTCCGGCGGGATATCGTGTTCCTGAAGACGCACAAGACAGCCAGCAGCACTCTCCTCAACATCCTGTTCCGTTTTGGCCAGAAGCACAGGCTCAAATTTGCCTTCCCCAGTGGCCGCAACGACTTCGACTACCCGACCTTCTTCGCGCGCAGCCAGGTGCAGGATTACCAGCCCGGGGCCTGCTTCAACATCATCTGCAACCACATGCGCTTCCACTACCAGGAGGTGCGGAGCCTGGTGCCGCCCAACGCCACGTTCATCACTGTGCTCCGCGACCCTGCCCGGCTCTTCGAGTCCTCCTTCCACTACTTCGGGTCCCTGGTGCCCTTCACCTGGAAGCTCTCAAGCCAGGACAAGCTGGCTGAGTTCTTGCAGGACCCAGATCGCTACTACGACCCCAACGGCTACAATGCTCACTACCTCCGCAACCTGCTCTTCTTCGACCTGGGCTACGACACCGGCCTGGACCCCAGCAGCCCGCAGGTGGAGGAGCACATCCTGGAGGTGGAGCGCCGCTTCCACCTGGTGCTCCTCCAGGAGTACTTCGATGAGTCCCTGGTGCTGCTGAAGGACCTGCTCTGCTGGGAGCTGGAGGACGTGCTCTACTTTAAGCTCAACGCCCGTCGCGATTCATCCGTGCCGCGGCTCTCAGGGGAGCTGTACCGCCGCGCCACTGCCTGGAACATGCTGGACGCGCGCCTCTACCGCCACTTCAACGCCAGCTTCTGGCACAAAGTAGAGGCCTTCGGGCGGGAGCGCATGGCCCGCGAGGTGGCCGCTCTGCGCAGTGCCAACGAGCGCATGCGGCGCATCTGCATAGATGGCGGACAGGCCGTGGACGCGGCTGCCATCCAGGACTCGGCCATGCAGCCCTGGCAGCCGCTGGGCACCAAGTCCATCCTGGGCTACAACCTCAAGAAGAGCATCGGTCGGCGGCACAAGCAGCTCTGCCGTCGCATGCTCACCCCCGAGATCCAGTACTTGATGGACCTGGGAGCCAACCTCTGGGTCACCAAGCTCTGGAAGCTCATTAGGGACTTTCTGCGGTGGTAACATCCGTCCTGGCGCCGGCCTCCCCTGACCCCTCCTGGTGCCACCCTGGACCCCAGGGTGAGGTGGGGTTTTCACGGGGACATAGCCGGCCAGGATAGGGCCCATGGTACACAGAGAGGGCCTCACTGATGTCAGTATTTGACTAATTATAGCATTTTTTATTAAACCCCCTGCCCTGTTTCCTGCCTCCCTTTGCGGAGGAGACCTCAGAAGTAAAGGAATTTGATGTTGTGTTTTTCTTAACCAGCCTCCGTGGTGGTGACTGGAGGGGCCGTGGGATGGGAGACCCCAAGTGGTACCTGTGGGAGGGTTCTGTGGGACAGAGCTCAAGGTGGGACAGGGACCCAGTGTGTATGGTACTTGTGGTTCAGGGGCTCCTGCCAACTTCCAAGATAGCTCCCCTCCCCTCCCCTCCCCTCCCTCTCCCCTCCCCCTCCTCTCTCTCTCTCCTCTTCTCCCATTCCTCTCCCTCAGCATTGGTTCTGTGCCTGGCACTATACCAGTGCTTTGTGGGCCTTTCAACTTATCCTCAGCAAGGCTCAGCGGCTTGAGGACTGTTATTATCTCATACTAGAGATGCAGAAGGGAGCTCAGAGAGGGAAAATCCCTCCGCCCGTAGTGGTAGGATTGGAGCGGGGATCTGATGGGTGGAAAGTGCGGTCAGATCGGGGCAGAGCCCAAGCGTGCGTGTGTCTGTGTGTGTGTCACAGGGAGGTGGGGAGCAATCAGTGGGGCTCTGGGCAGCAGACTCCTGGTCCAGGCCAAGGGCTTCTTCCACTATCTCCTTCATCCTCATACTAACGCTTTGAGTAGATAAGGTCCCACTTTATAGGTATAACTGCCGTCCTAAGAGGGGAAGAGCCTTGCCAAGGTCATGTTGCAGGGTGCATCAGACCCAAGACTCGAATCATCTCCCAGGGACTGCACATCCTTTCAGTCTTGAGTGCCTGTTGGTCCCATCCCAGCGGGTCCTTACCTGGCTTCCAGCAAACCCTGCCCCCGCAACTTCCGGCACCAACACCAGCCTGCTTTATATACTGACCCCTCCACCCTGAGGTTCATGTAATTTAAAAAATGTTTTGTTCCCACCCAGTATCTGTTGTCTCCCAACCCTAAGTTGCCCCGGAGCATGCAGCAGTCAACAAGTTGGTCTGGCCTCTCTGGAGCTCGTGACCAGAGGTAAAGATAGCCACCAAGCAACCTATCAGGGTCAGGTGCGGCTGACCAGGGTGGGGATGCCCTGGCTCCAACCGCCTTCCTCCTTCAACATCCCCAGGGGATCATAAGGAGTGAAGTAAGCAAAAAGGAAAAACTGACAAAAACTAAGACACTTCATAGGAAAAGATGTTACTGACCCCGAATTTATGAGACAACTCTTCCCCACTTTATTCATTAAAGATAGATATTACCAGGTGTGGTGGCACATGCCAATAATCCCAGCACTCGGGAAGCTGAGGCAGGAGGCCACCCTGAATTATATAGCAAAACTCTGCCTTAAAATAAATAAATTAATTAATTAAAATTAGATAGATAGATGCCAGTTGCTTGGTATACAGTATGATAGCATTTTGGATTTAAGGAACTTTATAATTATATCTCCTTAGACCCAAAGGGCCTAGAAATGCATATAATAACATTATTACATGCCATTACATTACTTATTATTATTGCTATTGGCATTTCTAGGCCCATCAGGATCCAAGAATAAAGCTGGCAGATTATAGGTGCCAGGAATGCAAATTACTTCATTGGAATTTACTATCTACCTGCCTTATTCTAAGAACATTACAATTATTGGGTCATTTGTAAATATAATTAATATTTGAAGTAGTGCCAGGCACTGGGTGCCGTCTTCTCAGCTGTGTGCGGTATGGGGTGTGGGCAATCCCTTTGCTTTCTCCTGGAAGGACTGAGGATCAGAAGTGCTGAGTGACCAACCCAGAATCACAGAGCCAAGCAACCACAGAGGTGCGAGTCTGATGCAAAGCCAGGTCTCAAGGCTCCTAGTCCTTGGCACCATTGCAGTTGGCCTCCAAGACCCGTGTCCTTCTCCTAGCCAAAAAAGAATCAGTCTCAACCCTGTGTGGTGGTGAGCATCTATAATCCCAATGCTCAGAAGACTGCGGCAGGAGGGTGCTGCAAATTCGAGGGCAGCCTGGACTACATAGTGAGTTTAAGCACAGTCTGAACTGTGTATACCAAGACCCTATTTCAAAAACAAACAAACCAGCAAACCAAACCAGTCTGTAAGGGACCTCGCTATTTGTTGCTGGCAGAGGTCAGGCTGCTTTTGCCGTACCATGGCGCTCTCCCCTACCCAGGTCACGTGCACCTGTGCAGTGGAGAGCGCCATGGTGCTGTTTGGTCTTGTTTCCAGCCCTGACACTCCCGCCTGGGTTCCGGATGCTGGAGGGGGCCAGGCATCTGCCAGCCTGATGCGTGAAATCCAGGCCTCTGGGTTCCCACATCTGCCTGGGATTCCCTGTCTTAACTTTGCTCACCCAGGATGCAACTGTGGATTTGTAGATTTCTGAGCCCCCAGTAGTAGACATTTCCAGGACAGAGACCAATTCCCAAGGCCAATTGGCCTCAAATGCCAGGCAAACAGTAAGTTTTTAATAAATGTTGAAAGACACAAGAAAGAAAGAAAGGAAGGAAGTGGAAAGGGAAGAAGAAAGGGCAAAGAAAAGGGAGGGAGAGAAGGACAGAAACAGGGAGGGAAGGAAGGTAGGAAGAGAGAAAAGAGAGAGAGAAGAAGAGAAATAGAGAAGTAGGGAGACAGAGAGGTATTTCCACCTCAGAGCCTTCCAGAGCACACCTGTAACTGACCAGGACGCCCTATCCCTGGGAAGGGCAATGCATTCCCCAATGTACACATGCGCTGGAACGAGTGAAAGTTCTGTGGGAAGGGACCCAGGCCAGGCAGTTTTGCCGGAAATGGGTGGAGGCAGGAAGTGACTTCTGCTTGGAGAGTGGCAGGCCACAGGAAGGTTAGGAACTGTCCAGGGACACCAGGAAGAGACAGGGAAGCCAGAAGGAGAGGGTACTGAGCATCTCCAGGGTACAGTGCACCACAGTGAGTACGGAGTGGGCCGTGAACAATGAAGCAGATCCTCCGAAATCCAAGTTGAGGGGCCAGTGACATAATCACAGCAGCCCGGCAGATGGGAGATGAGAGTGGGGTGTGGGCTTTCACTTCCCAGCAAAATGAAGCCTACTAGAGAAGGCCTTGTGTTTGAAACATCTTTGAGAGAGTCACAGGATGCAGGTATTTCGAGAGAGCTTCTTCCAGGGCAATCAAGTAGCAGAAAAAAAGCTGGGAAGGGACCGGAGAAAAGGCAAGGGGCCCAGACTGCTGGGGGCTTTGCAGGTTTTCCTGAGGTTAACGAGGAGCCATGGGAAGCTTTGGAGCAAGGGTGGGAGGTACTCGGAAGCCAGTGTCAGGAGGAGGAGGCCGCCGTGCCATGGTTGCAGACAAAACAGTTGAACTGGACATGCGGCTTATGGCCCAATAAAAGTGCTAAATTTCGGCTGTGTGTGCTTAAAAAGGAAGAGAGTCATGTGCTGAACTTCAGGGTTTCAATATAAATTCTTTGCATGAGGAACACGCCCAAGAAAGGCAGCCAAGGTGAGCCACGCTTATCGAGTTCACACTCAGATTCACCCACACATGAGTTCCCCCTGCCACACAGCAAGGACCTTTGCTGAACTTGTCTCTGAACCAATAGAGGAGGCTGTGCAGAAGAAAAAGGCACCCTGGAAGGAGCAGAAGAAACAAAAATTACAGCACGGGAGTAAATTCAACATGAAATTAATTCAAATAAAGTACAGAAAGAAGAGGAAGATGGGTCAAAGGTGCTGGGTTGGGCCCCAGCTGGAGCAGAGGCAGGAATCTTTACACTTGCCCCTTGTGGCTAAATTCCAGAGTCTGGGTCCGTAGGGCACTGGGAAGCCCCACCCTGCAGGAGGCGCAGATTTGCCACCCAAATGCTTCCTTTGCCTGGTGCCAGATGCGTGAGATACGGTCTTCTGAGTAAGTGTCAGGTCCAGACAGTCCAGGCAGTCACTCAGCTGCTGTATGGCCTTGGGGACGCCGCTTGCTTCTTCAGGCTCTGTCAGATAGGGAGGCAGAGTCAGCGGCTGAAAGACCCCCAAGGAGTTTCTGGCCTAGAACCTGACAAGGAGCCCCCTAAATGGTCCCTGTTTAGTGCCAAAGCTGCCCTGCCCATGTCCCTCAAAGACATACTGCCATTCGCCCCCTCTAAATAGTTCCCTTTACTTTGAACGCATTTATCCAGTAGTTCTTGCCGCTTTCTGAAGCAGTTCTGAAAGTCCTCTTGTTGCTTCCAGCTGTGGCACCTGTGTTTCTCAGTGCCAGGCCTTTCTCTGGTCTTCAGAGTCTGGTGCACTGCAGGCCAAAAGTGACATCCCCTGGGTATCCCTAATCCCAGGCCTGTCCAGAGATGGAATAGGACAGTTCCTGCTTCCCTTGGGCAGAAAAGCACTGAGGGGCGTATTCCACACCAGCTCCCTACAGTTCTTCACTTTCCTACATCTGTTTCCTGGACTCAACCAGGCATGATGGTGCATGCCTGTAATCCCAGCACTTGGGAGGCTGAGGCAGGAGGATCATTGCGAGTTCAAGGCCAGCCTGGGCTACAAAGTGAGCTCAAGGCCACCTGAACTGCATTATGAGGCCCTGTCTAAAAAAAAAACCAAACATACACACACACACACACACACAAATATTCCTGGGCTTACCTCCCAAATAAACTCCTTGAGCCGCACACCTTAGCTCCTTGACCCGGACGCCCTGCCTGTGGAGGGCCAGCCTAAGCCAAGTACACGTTATGCATCAGGCCCCAGGCACGCATAGTGATGGCAATTGTGGGGGAAGATGCAGCCTGGAGCTCTCCCCCACCTCTCACCCTGGCCCCCAGGCAGATGTGTTTCAGCTTAGAGTCACACATTCACCCGCTTGGGTCTGCGCCTGCGAGGCGTCTTCCTCAACACTCCCGTTTACTTTGAACACATTTATCCAGTAATTCTCACCACTTCCCGAAGCAGTTCTGAAAATCCTCTCTCCTGAGGGTCTTCATGTGTCCTTCTGCGGCTGTCAGGATGTCCCGAATCAGTTCAGACTTCATGGTCATTTTGGCTTTGGGAAAATCCAGAACCCGCACAGTGCCCGATCCCATGAATAAGGTGGGTGAGACCCACGGTAATGTTTTTACTAAGTTACCTTTCTGTTGGATGCCACAAAGTGGCAGTGTTCGGCATATTTTTTATCACTTCTCATAAAAACATTTACAAAAGACGACTTCCACAGCTGTTCCAGAAAGTAGCAAGAACCACAGGTGTTTTCAAAGTGAGGGGGAGTATTTTTGAGAGGGATTAATGATAATGTGTCTTTCTACTATAACTCTTTAAAGATTTTTTTTTTTTTGGTCTTTTTGAGACAGGGTCTCGCTATGCAGTTCAGGCTGGCCTTGAGCTCACTTTGTAGCCCAGGCTGGTCTGTAACTCGCAACAATCCTCCTGCCTCAGCTTCTCCAAGTGCTGGGATTACAAGCGTGCACCGCCATGTTTGGCTCTTTAAAGATTTAAACATTTACCATATATTTTGATCATATTTTGTGTGATGGACAGTGACTTTGTTGGGGTGGGAGGTGGCCTGCTCCATCTAGGGACCACAGAAGTTGAACACAAGGGACTGATAGGTAGGGTGGATGGCAAGCTCCCTGCGGGTGAGAACAGGTGGTGTGAATGCCGGTAGGCCCACATCCATGTGGTGAGGTAAGCAACACTGTCCTTGTTTTACAAATGAGGATTCAGCCCAGGCAATCTGAATAGAGGGACCAGTGCCTTGGGCATCTAGTGAGGGACAGCCCCTGTCAATCACCCTAAGGTACGGACTTGAGGTCCAACAGGAAGAGGCAGGCCTTCTGGACAGAGGTAGGTGTGGGTGGGGCTGCCAGCCTGGCAAAAGGCAGGCAGGCTGGAGAGAGCCACAGAGCAGGCCTGGACCCAAGAGCAGTGAGCTGGATCCCACCCCTGACACCATAAGCAGTGTGAGTGCACAAGTGGGTGACCTGAGCCCATGCCCAGAGAAGTCACTGGCCCAGGTGAGTGGTGGCAGGGAGAGCCCTACACTAGCCTCAGTTTCTCTTTCTGCCCATGAGGGACAGGACCCAAGGCCGCTGAGGTCCCTCTGCAGTTCTGGATCTTTCTTTCTTTTTCTTTTTTTGAAACAGGGTCTTGCTATGCAGTTCAGGTTAGCCTTGAGCTCACTTTGTAACCCAGGCTGGTCTCAAATTTACAGTAATCCTCCTGCCTTAGCCTCCTGAGTGCTGGGATTACAGGCGTGTGCCACCACGCCTGGCAGCTCTGGATCTCTTAACTTTTTTTTTTTTGACAGAGTCTCACTATGTAGTACAAACTGGCCTTGAACTCATGGAAATCCTCCTGCCTCAGCCTCCTGAGTGCTGGGATTACAGGTGTGCTCCACCACGCCCAGCTGCTCTTCTTAATTTCTGAAGTCCTCTTGGCCAGAAGCTACTCTAAAACCAATGGAAATATAACACAAACCACAGATGCAAGCCATGCATGTCAGTAAAATTTTCTCCTCCTCACATTGAAACCAAAAGGAAACAACTGAAATTAAGTTTATTTTTCTCTCTCTTTTTCTTCTTTTCTTGAGACAGGGTCTCCCTGTGCAGTCCAGGCTGGCCTGGGACCACATATCCCAGACTGGCCTCAAACTCAGGGCCCTCCTGCCGCAGGATCTGAGCCTTGTGATTAGAGGTGTGTACCAAGACTTTGGCTCCAAAGTTAATTTTAATACTGTATTTTAACCTAATACAACCAAATTATTATCACTTTAGTAAGTAATCAATACTAAAATTATTTCAGAGATTTTTTTTTTTAATTAAGTATTTGGAATCCTGTGTTTTATACCCACAGCAGATCTCAGCTCAGACCGGCTGTTAGCCCTTCGTGGTTACCACGTCGGACAGCACAGCTGAGGACGCTGGCTCATCTCAGGGCGGCCGTGGTGGCAGGTCACATCCTCTGCTATAACCTGGGGGAGGCAGGAGCAGGCTGTGTTTCCTCTCCAGCCTCAGGGCAGTTCCTCAGAGGTCAGGCTTTAGGTCTTTCTCTCAGGATTCCACGTGGTACTCCGGGGAGATCCACACACTTCCATGAGCTCAGAGGGAACGACTGAGCTGAGGAGACCCTGAGTCCTGCCCCCAAGCGGCTCAGCAGTGAGAAACAGCATTCCGTCTGGGGCAGGGGTAAACCCTTGAACAACCTGGAGGGGCCAGGGGGCATGGCTTGGTGGCAGAACATTTGCCTAGCATGTGTGAGGCCTTGGGTTCCGCCTGCAGAATGAAAAACAACAGCAACAACAAAAAAACTACTAGAATCCGAATTGCTCATCCTGGCTAAGCAAGTAACATCGCTATTTCCAACCTCAGGGAATGGATATAGCAGCAGCATCATATCAGGACTGACTTACTGCTCAGCCTGGGGTCAGAAACAGTCTTCCGTATTCCTGAAGATAGAAGTTACCAGCTTGTTTGGGGGCGGGGACAGAGAAAGCCCTTCGTGGCCCCCTTTGGAGGCCAAGGAGATAGAGACTCAGGGGAGGGGAAATGACTCAGGCAAGGACACCTGGGGACAGCGTGCTCTGTCCTGTGCTCTTTCCCCTTCTGGATTCATCGGAGTTGGAGGCTGGCTTTGGTCCACAGTGCGGGTGGGGCTCCCAACCAGGAGCAGCACTTCAGCCCCCAGACCCTGCATGGTGGTCCTGGGACCAGCTGAACTGTCCCAATGAACTCCTGGGAACTGTTGGGAGAGGATCTTCTCTGAAGCCAGGCCAAGCCACTTCTCACATGAGCCTGGATGACGGGCTCCAACCTAGATTTGTGATGTGCCTGCTGGCTCTGCCACTCACTGGCTGTGTGACCCTGGGCAAGTTGCTCAACCTCTCTGAGCCTCGGACTCCCTGTAGCTTACACCTGACCTGACCTGGATATAGGGACCTGACCTGACTACCTGAGGATAAACATGAAGGCTGTGAATAGGGTCATTTCCTGTGCCCACAACCCTGGGAGAAGTGTCAGGTTCATAAGTCGTCTCTACTTTTAATCCACATTTAATACTCTTAGAAGGTTTGTGCAGCCGGCTCATTATTATTCCATTTCCTGGAGGCAGAAAAACAATTTCCCCAAGTTGGCCCATTTCCTGGCTTTCCCTCGCTTGGGGGGCCCTCTTCACTCCAACATCCCCTGCCCCAAGAGCAGGTGAAACCTACAGGTGCAAAGACAGCTGGCCAGTCCCCTGATGGCCTCAGGATCACATCAGAGCCTCTCTCTATTCTGTTCATAGTTCCAGGCTAACATTCAGGAGGTGCTGTCCACCCTGCCCAGATCTGATGATTTCTTCCTCCTGCGCTGGCTCGGAGGTGAGGTGGAGAGTGGGGTGGGGTGAGGCTCTGGGGCACATGAGAGATGTGTACCAGTGTGTCTTGCTGTGTAACAAATAGAGTCAGCCTTAGTATCAAATTAGTATCTGTAAAGCGCCTGCCTGGCAAGCGCAAGGTCGTGAGTTCGGTTCCCAGTACCGGAGAAAAACAAAAACAAAAACAAAAAATTAGTATCTGCAGGGGATGATTCCCGGACCCTCAAGGGTATCAAATCCTAGGTGCTCAGATGCCTCATCTACAATGACATAGTATTTGCATCCATCCACTTTACATCATCTGATGGTGACTCATGATACCTAATACAATGTAAACGCAATATGGTCATTATACTGTTTGGCTTAGGGATTAACAGTAAGGAAGGTCCACACGTGTTCAATACAGATACAATTAGTTTTTCAAATATTTTTGATTCACCACAGTTGCTTGAATGACAGAAGTAGATTCTGAGGATAGAGTTATTGTATAGTAAAACAGGACTACTTTATTTTATTTTATATTTGAAAGAGACACAGTCTCACTTTGTAGTTCAGGCTGGCCTTGAACTCACTGTGTAGCTCAGGATGACCTCCAACTCACATCAATCCTCCTGCCTCAGCCTCCTGATTGCTGGGATTACAGGTGTGCACCCCATACCTGGCCAACAGAGCTGTTTTAATCAGCCAGGAACATATGCTCTCTCCCACAGTTTTCTATAGCCAGGATTTATGCGGAAGGTTCCGGTGGCTTATGAGGTTTCAACCAAGATATGGCCAGAGCTGTAGCCAAATAAAGGTTTTATGGGTCTGCAGGACCTGCTTCCAAGATGTCTTGTGTATCTAGTGAGTCACTGCCGGCTGTTGGCAGGAGGCCTCAGTTCCACCTCAGAGGACTCCCCATGAGCCTGCTTCAGTGCCCACACAACACGGCGGCTGGCTCCCTCAGAGGGAAACAGACACCGTTTCCTGGTCTGTTTATAGGGACTAGCCTCTCTCATCATCTTGATGCCCAGGTGATGCCAGTGTGGGGACCAACCTGAGGTCCTGGGGACCAGATGAAACCATGTGATTCTCAGCAGCTAAAGGTGCTTAGCGGAAGCAGGTCAGAAGTAGAGTCAGCCACGGGGCATGGTGGTGCACGCTCAAGTGTAATCCCAGCACTTGGGAGGTTGAGGCGGGAGGATCATGGGTTCAAGACCAGCCTCGGCTACATAGTGAGTTCCTGTCTCAAAAAACAAACAAACCAGCAAAAAAAAAATTCAGCAGAGTGAGCCAAGAGGGACAAGGTGGCTCCTCAAGAGAAAAGTGGGGACCAGCCTGGACAGCTATTTTCCCTCTAAACAGCTGAGGAAACTGAGTCCCAGCAGAAGGAGGCCTCCTGCCCCAGGTCCTAGGCATCTGGTGAGAGGCATGGATGGGACTGGACCCAGGACTCTGGGACTCCAGCTGGGATTCTTTTCCTGTTTGGTGGTGGACTTACCATGGTTGAATGTAACTCATCTTCCAAGGGTTCAAGTGTTGGAAACTCCTTCAGCCTACAGGCACTGCTGGGACGTGACCTCGTTAGTTTGTAACAGACATTGGATATTTTTATGATTATAAGATAAGGACACATTTATCATGGGAACTCTGGAAGATATGGGAAAAGAAAAGTACAAAAAAGGACTACACAAATCACCGGTAATCTGACATGACCATGAGGCAAACTTATATGTAATTTTTAAAAACACAATCAGGTTGATACACTCTAAACTGCTTTGTCCACGAACTATTCGGAGAGCATTGCCTCAAGTCACTGACATTTTCCTTCTTCCTCAGGATGGGTACAGAACTGCAGAATGTCCTGGAAGGTGATCCTCTGCCCCCCTCTTGGCAGTCCTAGTTTCTCATCTGGACAAAGCAGGCCTGTCTGCACCACGAAATAGTTGAGTTACATATCTAAGGATTGAAAAGTGGCTGGTAGCCATGACTGGGACCTGAAATGTTTCCCACAGGCCATGTATTAAAGGCTTGGTCCCCAGCATGGCCCTAAGCATTGAAACCTGTAAGAGGCGGGGCTGAGTGGCCCCTTATTCTTTTGACTCCTGGCCATGAAGTGAGCAGCTTTGCTTAGCCACCTGCTCATGAGCTGGACCCTCCGAGACTGAGCCACAGTAAACCCTATCTGTTTGTGGTTTTTTTTTTTTTTAATTTTTTTTTTGGGACAAGGTCTTATTATGTAGTTCAGGCTGGCCTTGAACTCACTATGTAGCCTAGGCTAGCCTCAGCCTCCTGCATGCTGGTATTACAGGTGGACACCACTACACCCAGCTCCTTTTCCTTCATAAGTTAATTATCTGAGGGATTTGTTACAGTTACAGAAGGATAACCAACACATGGTAGTAAAGAACTCCGTTATTATTTTATTTTTAGATTTTTAACTATAGGAGAAATATGTGACTATACTTTCATTGCGAATTGTTTTTTGTTTGTTTGTTTGTTTTGTTTTGTCGTTTTTTTTGTTTTTCTTCCGGTACCGGGAATTGAACTCACGACCTTGCGCTTGCCAGGCAGGCGCTGTGCCGCTGAGCTAAATCCCCAGCCCCTTTCGTTGTGAATTGTTATGGCTGTGTCTAGATGTACCCCCCAAAGCCTCATGAAGTCATAAGTGGGGCTTTGTCAATGGCTGGATCTAGAGTGTACAATGCTGGGATTGATTCATGGTGCAGTGCTAGGCTGAAGGGAACCAGGATTAAGGGTGTGAGTGCTACCCGCTCTAAGTAGTCTGGATAGGATGCAAGGGTTAGAAAGAGCTTGGTCACCCCTTGCTTGCTTGCTTTTGCTGTCTTCTGCTTGACATGAATGTTTCTCATCTCGAGGCCTGTCTACCACACCACCCTGCCTTGGAACCAGCCGATTAAAGACTGAAAACTCTACAAACTGTGAGCTAAATAAATCTTTTTCCCTTTAACTATGGGTTTCAGGTATATTGTTTCAGCTATGAGAAAAGAAATGAAGACACAAATGATCCTATCTTTTTGATAACAGTCCCTAAAAGTCACCATTATCACCAGTTTCTGAGTATCTTGCAGATTTTTTCCAATTTTTAAAATTGTGGCAAAATACATATAAAATTGGCCATCTTAACCTTTTTTAAGTGTACAGTTCAGGGCCATTAAATACATTCACAACCTTGTGCGACTCTCACTACCATCCATCTCCTGAGCTCATTCCGTCTTGTAAAACTGAAATTGTCCCCATTCAACACTAACCCCTCACTTCCTCTTCTTCCGCCCCTGGCAACCACCAGCCGGCTTTCTGGCTCTGTGATTTAGTCTGCTCTATGTACTTCATGTAAGTGGAATCACACAGCATTATCTTTTTGTGTCTGGCTTAATTCACTTAGTATCTTAGTTACTTTCTTGTCACTGAGGCACAATACCTGACACCCACAAATCTAGGGAGGAAAGGTGTATTTTGCCTCACAGTTTGTAGAGGGTCCAGTCCACAGTCGGCTGGTTCCAAGGCAGGGCAGCAACCTGCGAGGGAGATGGACCCTCGCAGGCCACACTCCCAGGGAGCCATCTCCTCCAATGAGGCTTCACCTCCCAACATCACAGTGAGCTATGCACTTATCAGTGGACCAATCCAGTGATGAGTATCACACACCCATAATCCAGTCATCGCCCAAAAGCCCCACCTAAAGGGCATGAATCATGGGGGGGGGTGGTCCTAGATATGAACCACAGCATTTAGCCTGGTGTGCTTAAGATTCACGCATGTTGAAGCATGTGACAGAATTTTGTTCCTTTTTTAAATTCCTTTTTAAGGTTGACTAATATACCATTGTATGGATACACAATATTTGGCTTAGCTATTCACCTCCAGTGAACACTCGGGTTGCTTCTATATTTTAGCTGTTATGAGTAACACTGGTTTTTTTTTTGTTGTTGTTGTTGTTGTTTTTATTTGTTCGTGGTACTGAGGATTGAACCCAGGTTCTCATGCATGTTAAGCAAGCACTCTACCACTGAGCTACATCCCCAGCAATAATACTGTTAGGGGTGTGGATGTACAAATATTTTTTTCATACTCACATTGCTGACTTTTCTCAATGCATTTCATGTACATATTTATACTGTATTGTGTATGTACACATTTCTGCATATGTAACCTTAGCTCTTAGTACTACCAAGGAGTACTAAGTCTCAGAGAGGTTGAGGACAGACCCAAGGGCACCCAGCCTGAGGCAGAGCTAAGATTCATTCCTCCCCAAACTGGCCTCCCAAAACCCTGCTTGACCAACTTGGCCACCCTACCCTCCGCATTTCACGAGGGAGACAGGCAGTGAAGCCCTGCTGGACAGAAGGGAGGACTGCGGCATGGTGGTTTACCCTCCTGTGGACAGAAACGAGGGAGGCAAGGCTTGGTCCTGATGTCTTTTGGGATGGCTCCTTCCCTGCACCTGGCTTCTTGGCATGAAGCCTCCAAGCCAGGCAGGACTGGCTGCAGCATCTGTGGAAAGCAGGAGTGGAGTTTGTCCGAGAGGTGAGACGGCCCCTGGGGTGTCAGGTGGTCCAGCCTTGGGCTTGCCCCTCCCCTTGCAGTGTGGGATGGGAGGGTCCTTCCTTCCCGCCTTTCTTGTCTCCTTCTTTCCCTCCCCCACTCTTCTTTTCTTCCTTCCCTCCCTCCCTCCTTCCATCCCTCCTGCCTTCCTTTCTGTTCCACTCAAGCTAGCAAAAAACCCTAACATTAAAAAAAAATTAATAGCTGTGTTAATGTTCTTATTATCTTTTAAAAGGCCACAACAAATATTATACCAAATTAAAAGAGCCAGAGACAAAGGACAACTAGTGTACGATTCCATTTACAGATACCCCTCAACTGACAATGGTTCCCCTTACCGTTTTTTAACTTTACCCTGGTGCAAAAGCGCCAGGCACCCAGTATGGAAACCTTACTTCAAATTTTGAATTTTATTTTTTCCTGCACTAGTGATGCTTGCTGGTGACACTGGGCAGTGACCGCAAACCGCAGCTTGCAGCTAGCCACGCGATCACGGGGCAATCAACCAAGGCTAAGCCGGGAAGTCGGGTAGTTTAGATGTATTCAGTGCGTTTGTGACTTAACAGTGTTTTCAACTTACAATAGGTTTATTGGGATGTGGTGCAATTGTAAGTCAAGAAGCACCTGTAGACGAAACTTCAGAGTGGAGGGTGGGACAGAGGAGGACACAAGGGGGCAGTGTTTATACAGCTATCATTTCTGCCTCTGGTTCCACAGTTTTTCTCGGCACTTGAGGCAAATTACTCTGCGTTCCTGAAGCACTTAATTGTGGTGAAAGGTGAGTGGACCAGCCAGCTCCATGGAGGGTGTGGGGGTGACAGGGCAGGCACCTGAGGCCCAAGGAGACGCCGCTCTCCCAGTCCACTGTCCAAAGGCTCAGCTCCGTGCCTGTTTCAGCCCCCTGCCTGTTCGCCGTGGCCTTCAACCTGGTCAAGTCCTATGTGAGTGAGAACCCGCAGGAAGGCGGTGGTGCTGGGAGGCAAGTATGTAACCTTGGGCCTCCTTTCCAGCCTGGAGCTTGAGCTGAGAGCTCCCTCTCCACAACCCTGACGGGGCCTGCATCTGAGGGCACCAGGCTCTGGGACCTGATTGGTCTCAAGAGCCCACTGCTTTGTGGCAACTGCTGAAGCATGTGGCACCCATGTGCCCACCAGGCAGAGGGCAGTGAGGCTTGGAAGGTTTTGGGAGACCGCTAGAGATAGCACGAGTGGGTCCCTGATGGGGAGATATGTATTTGAGGACTGGGTTTGCAAGTTATTAGCTCCAAATGGGATGAGTTACCTGCTTTGTCTGAGTCTCAGCTTGCTCATCCATACAATGGGGGAGAATAAGACCTAAGTTCTTCCAAACTGTATAAGTAATGCTGTTTAGCAATTTGGAAAATACAGAAATGTATAAGGGAAAAGAATTCTGTCACCTCGCAAAAAACTACTGGTAATACTTACTTTTCCAAAGGAATGTGTATCATTTTGTTATCATTTATCATATGATAAGCCCATTTCCACTTGGATAAAGATCTAAATTTAGATTCCTTGTATTATTTTTAACATTAGGAATAAATCAGTTTGAAGATTTTTATAGGTACATCTTTGTACACAACCACAGTTTTTTTTTCCCTTCCATATGATAAAAATACTAGGAGGGAGATTTTCCCGAAGGAAAATGTACGTGTTAGGACTGCTGATACCTTTTGCAGTGATGTGGTTTATACGTATCCCAGAATTTAACACCACCAGGTGTGTGTGAATGCACCGATTTCTCAACATTCTTGCAAACATTGTACAAAGCCTCTTGTCAGGCGTGGTGGCACACACCTGTAATCCCAGCACTGGGGAGGCTGAGGCAGGAGGATCGGCATGAGTTGGAGGCCAGCTGGGGCTACATAGTGAACTCAAGGTCCACCTGAACTACACAGCAAGAGCTTGTGTAAAAACAAAAACAAAGACAAAGACAAAAACAAAAAAAACCTCTTGTCTTATTTATTATTGTTTTACATTTTTTTAACCATCTATGAGGCTGGAATTTTTATACTGATTAGCTGTTTTAATTTCTGTTTTATGGCCTGCTTTTGTCTCATGCCCATTTTCTAGAAAACGATTTTTTTTTTTATTTATAAATGCTCTTTACATATTAAATACATTAGCCTTTTCTATTTGTGGCATATTTGTGGCAAACATTTCCCCCAGTTTCCTTATTTAATTTTTAAACATAGTTTTACATTTTTAAGTCAAATTTGCGGGCTTCAGCTTTGATTTTCCCATAGATTTTATGCTTACACAATCTGCTCCTATACTGGGGCGTGTTAGGTATTCACCTCTACTTTCTTCTACTTTGTCCCTGCCTTGGATTTCTTTCTTGGAGGGGGACAGACTTAGCCCTGCAGTTCCAAGGTTACGATACCTCAGGGGCTGACTGCAAGGCTGAATTCTGTCTCTGGGGGACAGTGAGGTCCAGGCCCGGGCCTGCCTGTCCTTGATCCCAGGCTCCAGGGGTCTGGAGTCCCTGTCCCCAACGAGCCAACACTGGGAAAGATGATGAGACAAGGCTGGAGGGACAGTGAGAGTGGACCGGCCCAGGGACAGGAACTAGTCCCAGGATACACACTAAGCCCCGAGTCTAGACCCAGAGCCACTTGGCTTCCATCTCTGGGGGCAGGATTTGGAGCTCCAGAAGCACTCGAGTGGGGTGCATCTGGCTCCCTCTCCCCTCCCCGCGTCTCCCTGAGCTCCCTGGAGGCCCCTTTGCTCCCACACAGACAACTGGAAGCAGGAGCTGACGAAGTTCATCAGCCCTGACCAGCTGCCCGTGGAGTTTGGGGGTACCATGACCAAACCCGACGGCAACTCCAAGTGCCTGAGCAAGGTACGGGAGCCCAGAGGACAGGCAGGGAGGGGAGACTGCCATGGCTCAGTGCCCGCTCACCCCGTGCCACCCACAGATCAACTATGGAGGCGAGTTACCCAGGACCTACTACCTGCGAGAGCAGGTGAGGATGCAGTACGACCACAAGGTGTCTGTGGGCTGCGGCTCCTCCCAGCAGGTGGAGAGCGAGATCCTGTTCCCGGGCTGTGTGCTCAGGTAGGGGCAGCGGCTGCCCTGCCCACCCCTGGCACAGCTGGAGGATGGCACACCAGAGCCTAGGCAGGAGGTCACTGGGGCTGTGTCTGCTGCAGGTGGCAGTTTGCATCGGACGGTGGGGACATCGGCTTTGGGGTTTTCCTGAAGACGAAGATAGGGGGGCGGCAGAGAGCTGGGGAGATGACGGAGGTGCTGCCCAGCCAGCGCTGCAATGCCCATATGGTGCTGGAGGACGGGAGCCTCACCTGCCTCAAGGCCGGCGGCTGTAAGGGTTAAGCAGGAAACAGCTCCACCTAGAGGTGGGTCGGGGAGGGGCCCTCAAAGCACATCTGGGTCTTTCCAGTTAAGGGCCCCTGGCTCTGAAAGGCGCAGTGTGGAGCTGCCCTGGGCTCTCAGCATTGGCAGTGGTTCCCTGGCTGGCTACACACATGTGGACTTACCACCATGAACAGCAAGGGCTCGGGTGGAACATCCTGTGTGAACATCCATCTCTCACTGCAGACAACACCTACAGCCCGGTTCATTCCAAGCACATCAGCTACACCGTGGAAGTGTTACTCTCAGACCAAGCCTTAATGGAAAAGGTGGAGAAATTCCAGACAAACCGTTTGGCTCTATACCCTTCTCTGTAACCTCTGGATCCACAGTGAACTCAGTCTTCCCTGGCCAGACCCCACCCAGCTCCTCCAGGGACAGCAGTCCCCCCCTAGCAGGTTGCAGCCTGGCCTTTATTGCTGGGAGTGCTGCCCTGATGGCCACAAGAAAATGACAGACCCTCTACCTCCACTCTTACCTCCTGTGACCTTGAACTCAGCAAACGCTCCAGGCCTTTTTCTATGAACGGATGCCAAGAAATGAATTACTGATGTAAACTACAGTATATTAATAGAACGTTGGAGATACGGTAAGACCAACAGATCAAGAAAACATTTCCATTGAAAAAAGGGTGGTTTGTTGCTCACAGTTCCCCAAAAAGAGATACACTATTCCATGAGAGGCTGTGGTGGGAAGCTAGGGCCAGACAAGAGGTGGAAGGAAGCTGGATGAGGTGGTGCATGCCTGTAATCCCAGCCACTTGGGAGGCTGAAGCAAGAGGATCACCAAGTTCAAGGCAACCTGGGAAAGTTAGTGAGACCCTGTCTTAAAAATTAATAAGAACTGGAGCTTAGGTTAGTGTGAGGCCCTGTGTTCAGTTTCTAGTACTTGATGAGGGGGTGGATAAAGGTAGAGGGAAAAGGTAGAATTCTGGCCAAGAGCCTTTATTATGGTTTCCATGGGACGAACAGGTCAGTCTGGGTAAGCAGGCTTATGATTTGCTAATCTGAATAATTCCAGCAGTTTCTGGGGCACAGAACTGTTCCTAGTTGTCTGCTTCCTGGCACTGGGGTGATTAGGACAGGAAAACCGCGGTCCAGAGTGTGGGAACCTGAAGAATGAGCTGGGGGAGGGGGGCCTGTATCAGTCGGTTTGTAAGTGAGAAGCTGCTGCGGACATGTTCACTCTCTAGGAACTGGGCTAACCTGGGAAAGACAGTTCCGCCCCGGCCAGCAAGGCCCTAGATGTCAGCGCATAAGAATACTGTTAGTCATTAGAATAAGTACATGGTTTTGTCTCGTGATGGCGTGGTGGTTTTATTCTACATTTCTTCTGTGATGTAGCGGATCTTTTCAGGAACAGGGCATGGTCTGCTGAGAAGACCTGAGTTCAAGAACTATTTCTGGCTTTGACTACGTGGCCTCAGCAGGGGACCAGCCCGCTCTGAGCCTCCCTCTGCTCCCTGGCAAGTGGGTGAGATAAGAGCGCCTGCTTCAGAGTGGTTGCTGTGAGGACAAACGAGATTCCACTGGCACCAGCAAGCACCCAGGGAAAGGCAGCCGCAGTTGGGAGCTGATGCCTAGTGTAGGGGCCCACCAGGACTCTTGCCGCACTGCTTTACAAATCTCTCCCGGGCGGCTTCCTTTCTCCTGGCTGTGCTCACCCTGGCTTCCGTCCCCTCTGTCAGCCCTCCTAGTCTGAGCCCACCTCCACCCCACCCTGGATCTAATGCCCCCTTCCCCAGCGCCCTTCTAGCTGCAGACTCACAGCAGTGGGGAAAAGATCCCTTGACAAGTAAGGAGGGAGGGGCCAGGCTCACATTTTTATATCAACCCACTTTCATAGGAACTGACCTGGCCCTATGAGAAACACGTTACTCCTTTCCAGGGTGGTGTCCAATAACTAAGGCCCCACCTCTTCTGACCCATCCGCTCTTAGTGCCATTACACTGGGGACCAATTTCCAAGGCAGGAAGCTTGGGGGACAAACACTGTCACATAGATTCTTCCCTTTCGGTGGTGTGTGCCCCTCCACAGCTGGGAGAATCACTTGCATGAAATGGTTTTGTAGCTGTCCCGCATTATCTGCAGTATAGACAGGGAACACACAGCTGCCCACTTGGGCCCTCAACATTGGGCCTGCAGACCATCTCCAGCTACTCCCACACCCGCATATGCTGTGGGTTGCCACAGCCTCGGCCATCCATGGTGGTGACAATAGCTCTCGCAGAGCAAGGAGCCGTTTGTGCACACTCCAGTTCACTGGCTGTCTTAGCCATTTTCTGCGGCTATAACAGAAATCCACAGACTGGGTAATCGAGGTTTATTTGGGTCACGGTTCTGGAGGCTGGGAAGTCCAAGAGCATGAAGCAGCCATGTTGCGAGATCTCTGATGCCTCCAGAGAACCCCACCCTGCAGCCACGTCGGAGGCTCTCAGTATAACTTAGAAGCAGAGGGGACAAGAAGCCTGAGTCCGCTCTGGGAGCACAACGGGCTCTTGGCCTGAAGAGTTTCTCCACAGTTGAGGCACTGGTGACTCACACAGGGCCTCTTGCCATTTCCCAGCCAGAGTTTTCCACTCATAGCCTCCAGCTCTGGGTCAGGGCCCATCACAGACCAGCTGCACATTGCATGAATAAATCTGTGAATGAGTGAACGAATGAATGAGGCCAAGCTCCTCCTCCTTTGCCAAGCACAGGGCTCTGATGAATGTCAGAATAGTCAGTGAAGGGGCCCATCTTTGTCCCACACCCCCGGGGCCTCCTGTCTGACCCACAGCCACCTGGGCCTAGGCCTTTAGTGGGCAGCCTACAGGCAGTAGGCAGCTTTTCCTCCACTAGAGCAGCCTCAGTGGCTGAGCCACCACCAGCTCATGCTCTGTGAGTTCGTCCCTTCCAAGGAGTGGGAAGACTGAGGAGGCCCAGCCACGGGGCCCTGTCAAGGCCTGGTACTCACTCGGTGTCTCCTGCCTCTTCCTGCAGGTCTCCGCAGCCCAGACTCTCGCATTCTTGCTTCCATTCTCCCCACTCTTGGGCTCAGGGTTGCATGTGAGGCCCCTTCTTCCTGTCTGGGCTCCACAAGGTCTGAATGCTGCTATTACTCCAACTGGGCATCCTGGGGTCAGAAAAGACAGGGATACCAGTGTCCTAGGTTCTGCGTTTTTACATTTCAAGTGGGAAAATGCAGTTCCTCAAAAGTTAAACATAGCACTGCCACATGACCCAGAAACTCCGTTTCTGGAGACATACTCAGGAGATGGTAAGAGGACCCTAGTCCCAGTCGCCAAAATGCCTGTCTGAAAAGCTTGCAGTTATAAACCCTCCCTCTGCCCCTTTGCGATGTAGCTTTCCTCCACCCAAAACTGTCTCCTCAAGGACCGCAGTGCCAGCTCTTTGAACTAAAGCATTCAGTAGCTCCCCAGCTCCTGCTCTCTGTGGCCCGACTTTGGTGGGTGCTCTGTTCCATCCCATACCGCTTTGCCTTTTCCCTGATAAGTATTCACCGGCAGACTCAAATGGCCTGGTCACAAGGATCAAACGTTCCTCCTTTAGCATGGTCTGGCATTAAAAACACCTCCTGCCCTTTATCTTGTTGAAGTTGAATTCAACTTATGGGACATTCTCTACCCTATGTCATGTGCCACACAACGACATGTCAGTCAACAACAAGTTGTAGGCACCACGGTCCTTACATTCTATCAGCTAGTGACATCACAGCTGTCTTAGTTTTTGTAAAAAGGAAGTGGCTAAGACAAGGCCAGAGAGAAGGGGGTCCCTGCTTTGAAGGCTGCTTTCTGGGTTAGATCTACCTTCTGAGTTAAACTTTAACCTAAGTCCAGGATATCCCAGTCTAAAAATAAAAAAGGAGGTAACTAAGTCATCCAGCTCATAAAAGTGAGTCTCTGGGCATACACCCAGAGGTCTTTAGCCACCCTTGGCCAACCCCTGCCCTAATTACTGTCACAGTAATGCTGGTTTGATCCTAACTCCAATAGGCTTTGGGGACCATGACAATTCTTTAAAAGGTTAAAAAAAAAAAAAAAAAGCCATAAAAGGTCAAAAACCCAAGCCAGGAGCAGTGGCCCATACATGTACTCCCCGCACTTGGGAGGGGAGGCTGAAGCAGGAGGATCGCTGCGGATTGGAGGCTAGCCTGGGCTACATGGTGAGTTCAAGGCTAATTTGAACTAAACAGTAAGGCTCTGTATCGAAAGAACAAAACAAAAAGTCAAAAACTCCACTCCTGGAGGGTGAGACAGAGTCAAGCTGTTTAGTGGCAAGAGTAGAACCTCACACAGACCTTTCATTTTATTTTTTTTAGTTTTTGGTTTTTTTCCAGTACCGGGAATCGAACTCACGACTTTGCACTTGCCAGGCAGGCGCTGTGCTGCTAAGCTAAATCTCTAGCCCCCAGACAGATCTTTCAATCCCACCCCAAACCCTGATGCTTAAACCCCTCAGCACTAAGCTTGCTCACTGTTGTGAGCTCTTCTCCCTGCCCACTTCCGCCTTACGAAGTGTGCTTTCACTTTCAATAAATCTTTGATCTTGCTGCTCCTTTTGAGTATCCCGCTGAATTCTTTGTTCAGAATACCAAGAGCCTGGATAAACACTTATTGTGGGGCTGGGGATATAGCTCAGCAGTATAAGTGCCTGCTTGGCAAGCGCAATGTCCTGAATTTGATTCCCAGTACAAAAAAACACTGACTGTGTAACAAGTACACTCTATGATGTTTGCACAACAGTCACCTAATGACATGTTTATCTGAATGTGCCCTACGACTTCAGTTTGTGCTAAATAAAGTCTATTTTATCACTTTTAATTAGTATCTGGCTTTGCTTGTCCTTGACACTTTCAAATTGGGCACTGCTCTGTAGTATCTTGACGCTGTTAAATCCAAACCCTAAAGACCCAGGAATCTCTGAACTAGAAGGGTTTATTGGTTACAGGTAGTCAGAAAAAGGTTGAGGTCCTGGAAAAACTTTCCACTACCTATCAGAGGCATGACTTGAGAAATGTCCACTGGGCCTTGAATAGAGTACTTTTATAAAGTTTGGGAGCCAGGAGCAGTGGCACACTCCTATGATCCTAGCACTCTGGGAAGCTGAGGCAGGAGGATTGCAAGTTCAAGCCCAAAGTGGACAGCTTAGTGACTTGGCAAAACCCTGTTTCAAATTTATTTTAAACAGATAATAAAGAGATAAAAAAAATTGGGGGGAGGGAAGCATAAATTGTGTACATTGAACCTATAGTGTCTGTAGATGGGAGGGAGTAGGATAATGTAAGGGGTCAGACTTGGGGACAGGAGGTGGCCCATGAAAAGTACTTCTTG